TTAAGTATGATATTAGCTGTGCCATTTTCACAAACATTCTTTATCATGTTGAAGGAAGTTCTATTCCTGGTTTGTTGAGTGTTTTTATCACAAAAGGCTGTTGGATTTTTGCCAAATGCTTTTTATGCGTCTATTTAAATGATGGTGTGATTTTGTCCTTTATTTATATAGTGTATTACACTGATTGCTTTTTGTATGTTGAACCGACCTTGTAATCCTGGGATAAATCCCACTTGCTACATAGTGTATAATCCTTTTTATATGTTGGTGATTCAGTTTGGTAATATTTTGTTGAGGTTTTTTTTTTGACGAGTAAGGGGATCACAACCCTCAGCACGGTGTCGTCCGCACCACGCTCAGCCAGTGAGCGCACCGGCCATCCCTATATAGGATCCAAACCCGCAGCCTCCGTGCTACCAGCGCTGCACTCTCTGGAGTGAGCCATGGGGCTGGCCCTTGTTGAGGTTTTTTTGTGTCTATATGCACAAGAGATACTGGTCTTTAGTTTTAACTGATGTCTTTGGTTTGAATATTAGAGTAATACTGACCTCATAGGATGAGTTGGGAAGTGTTCTCTTCTGCTTTTTTTTTTTTTTGTCTTTTTCCGTGTCCGGCAACGGATCGCAACCCTCAGTGTCGCCCCCGTACCGGACCGGGACCGGCAACGGGATCGCAACCCTCAGTGCTGCTCCAGCACCTCGCTCAGCCAGTGAGCGGGAACCGGTCTGTATGTGGGATCCGAACCCTCGGCGGGAGCGCCACCGCACTTCTCAAGCAGCGCACTATAGCAGTGCGCCACCGGGCCGGCCCCTCTTCTGCTTTTTTTAAGAAGAGGTGATAAAGTATTGATGGTGTTCTTCACATTCATTCATTCATGTCAATATACAATGTGGTTGATTTTTGTGTCCCATTACCGAATCCTCCCTCCCCACTTCCCTCTCGCCCTTCCTGCCCATCAAGATCATATCTGTTAGCTTGTCTAACAACTTCAAGGAACTGTGATTGTTGTGTCTTCTTCCCACCCTCCCCCACCCTGTTTGTGTATTTATTTATTTATTTTTAGCTCCCACAAATAAGTGAGAACATGCATTTCTCTTTCTGTACCTGACTTATATCAATATATTTTTTTCTAATTCCATCCATGTTGCTGCAAATGGGAGTATTTCATTCCTTTTTATAGCTGAGTAGTATTCCATTGTGTAGATATACCACGTTTTCCTTATCCACTCATATGATGATGGACATTTGGGCTGGCTCCAACTCTTGGCTATTATAAATAGTGCTGCAATGAACATTAGAGTACAGGTATCCCTTCGACTTGATGATTTCCACTCCTCTGGGTATATTCCCAGCAGTGGAATAGCTGGGTCATATGGTAGATCTATCTGCAATTGTTTGAGGAGCCTCCAAACCATTTTCCACACAGGCTGCACCATTTTGCAGTCCCACTGACAGTGTTGGACGGTTCCTTTTTTCCCGCAACCTCACCAACATTTATCATTCAGTCTTTGGGATATTAGCTATCCTAACTGGGGTGAGATGGTATCTCAGTGTGGTTTTGATTTGCATTTCCCAAATGCTGAGTGACATTGAGCATTTTTCCATGTGTCTGTTGGCCATTTGTATATCTTCCTTTGAGAAATGCCTATTTAGCTCCTTTTTCCATTTTTTAATTGGGTTACTTGTTTTTTTGCTATAAAGTTGTTTCAGTTCCTTGTATATTCTGGATATTAATCCTTTGGACAGATGTATATTTTGCAAATATTTCCTCCCACTCTGTTGGTTGTCTTTTAACTCTGTTAACTGTTTCTTTTGCTGTGCAGAACCTTTTTAGTTTGATATAATCCCATTTGTTTATTTTTCCTTTGGTTGTCCATGCTTTGGGGGTTGTGTTCATGAAGTCTGTGCCAAATCTTTCTTCCTGGAGTGTTTCCCCTATGTTTTCTTTAAGGGAGTTTTATTGTTTCAGGGTATACATTTAATCTTTAATCCATTTTGAGTGGATATTAGTGTATGGTGAGAGGAATGGGTCTAGTTTCATTCTCCTGCATATGGATATCCAGTTTTCCCAGCACCATTTGCTAAAGAGGCAGTCTCTTCTCCAGTGTGTAGAATTGGTGCCTTTGTCAAAGATCAGATGGCTGTAGGTGTATGGGTTGATTTCTGGATTCTCTATTCTATTCCATTGATCCACATGTCTGTTTTTATGCCAGTACCATGCTGTTTTGGTTATTATAGCTTTGTAGTACAGTTTAAAGTCAGGTAGTGTTATGTCTCCAACTTTGTTTTTTTCCTCAGAATTGCTTTGGCTTTTCCTTTAAGAACAGGAACTAGACAAGGATGCCCACTCTCACCACTCCTATTCAACACAGTGTTGGAAGTATTAGCCAAAGCAATCAGAGAAGAGAAGGAAATAAAGGGCATCCAGATTGGAAAAGATGAAATCAAACTGTCCCTGTTTGTGGATATGATCCTATATATCGAACAGCCTAAAGCCTCTACAAAAAAACTCTCACAGTTGATAAATGATTTCAGCAAAGTGGCAGGATACAAAATCAACACACAAAAATGAGTAGTATTTCTATACTCCAATAGTGAATGTGCAGAAAAAGAAATCAAGAAAGCTAGCCCACTTACAATAGCCACCAAAAAAATAAAATAGTTAGAAATAAAGTTAACCAAGGATGTGAAAAATCTGTACAATGAGAGCTACAAACCACTGTTGAGAGAAATTAAAGAGGACACATGAAGATGGAAAGATACCCCATGCTCCTGAATTGGAAGAATTAACATTGTGAAAATGTCCATACTACCCAAGATGATATACAAATTCAATGCAATCCCCATCAAAATTCCAATGACATTTTTCTCTGAAATGGAAAAAACTATCCTAACATTTATATGGAATAACAAAAGACCACAAATGGTGTTCTTTAAATGTTTCATAGCACTGACCAGTGATACCATCTTGTCCTGGGATTTTTCTTTGTGGGAAGCTTTTCATTTACTAATTCTCTCTCTCTACTTATCATAGATATATTCGGATTTTCTATTTCTTCTTGAGTTAGTTTTAGTAGTTTGTGTCTTTCATGGAATCTGTCCACTTTATCTAGGTTATCTTTTTTGTTGACACATAATTGTTCACAGCCTTCCCTTATAATCCTTTTTATTTCTGTGTGGTTGGTAGCAATTTCCCCTCTTTTGCTCCCAATTTTTGTATTTGAATCCTCTTTTTTTCTTGATCAGTCTAGCCTAAAGTTTGTCAATTTTGTTGATCTTTTAGAAGACCCACTTTTGGTTTCATTTATTATCTCCATTGTTTTTCTGTTCTCTCTTTCATACACTTCTGTTGTTACCTTTATTGGCTTCCGTATTTAAAAACAAGCACTTTTTTTATTTTCTGTATTTTTTATGCTTTTACATCAGAGGCTGCTGTGGGTTGAATATGTCCCCAAATGTTCATGTGTTGGAGACTTGATCTCCATTGTAACAGTGTTAAGAGGGTGGGAAATCCTATCATGGTAACTGAAAAGTGGGGCCTCTTGGAATGATTTGACTCTAAGGACCATATCCTTGCGAATGGATTAATCAATCCATAGTAGTTTAGTGGGTGACAATAGACGTGGTTCTGATGGCTTTCAACAGAGAGCAAGTGAGGAGGTTAGCTCTCTCTTGCTCAGTTATTTGCCATGTGATACCCTGTGTTGCTGTGGAGAGTCACCATCAAGAAAAAGGCCCTCACCAGTTGTATTCCCTAGACTTTGGACTTCCCAGCCTCCTAACTGGAAGAAATAAGTTGTATATCTTTATAAATTACACAGTTTCAGATTTTCTTTTATAAGCAACAGGAAATGGACTAATACAGGAGCCTTGCTAACACTGGAGGGACTCCCCTTCCCACAGGTAACCTTTTCCCTGAAGATAGTAAAATGACCTGTGAGTGTGCCTTTCATATGCCAACCAACCAATCCAGAGTAAATACCCCACCACATCACACTGGGGGCCATCATTACCCTGCCCTAACCAGCCCAGGGCCAGATACCAGACAACTAGGAACAGCTTCTCAACATAAGAGCCTCTAAAACTATTCAACCTAGCCAATCCTAAATTTGTTTACCGTGTCTTACCTGTTCATTCCCACAGAAAACACAATAAAGGCTCTTGCTTACATTTCCCCAACCCCCTGCCTCCTAACTGACCCTGGCGCTTCCCCATGTGCCCCCCCCCCCTATAGCACAGCATGCCCTCTCCTCTTGAGATGTGTGAGTATAACAAATTATCTTTTCAATGGCAATCATCTCCTGATCTATGGCCTTATTATACCTGAATAATAAAAAGCGTATTTTTAAAAATAGCTTCTTCCTTCTGCTTGCTTTGGTTTAGTTTGCTTTTCTTTTTCCAGTTTCTTAAGGTAGAAGATTAAGTTATTAATTTAATGTCTTTCTTCTTTTCTATATAGCACCACTTTACCTGTATCCCATAAGTTTTGGTATGTGTGTTTTTTTATTCATCTCCAAGTACTTTCTAATTTCCCTTGTGATTTCATCTGACATTTATTATTTAGGAGTGTATTTTTAAATTTCTACATATTTGTAAATTTCTCAAATTTCCTTCTGTATATGATTTCTAATTTCATTACTCATTTATTCTTGACTTCAAGTGTAGATTGAATGTTATAGAATCCTAGACTGGGACAAAATATAAGAGAATATCCACCATCACTTCTAATTCTTTCCCAGACAGTATCAGAAATAATCTTTCAATAGACTTTGGAAAAGAAGACCAAAACAAAAAACAAAAACAAACAAACAAAAAAAAAATGATAAAGTTGAGGACTGTGGGCAAAATCATTTATACTTTGCACTTATATAGCAATTTACAGATTACAGATAGTGCTTCTATATCCACAACTGCATGGAAATAAATGAAATTTTTAAAATATCTTAAATATTACTTTTAACACAAAATAGACAACTAATAGATTGGCAAAAACAAAATACCTGATAGGTGTTGTCAAAGCTGTCATACATGAATCTGGTGATCAAGGATGTCTTTCCAACTGAAATGAAAAGAAAAAAAGAGATTTGCTCAGTGAGCACATTACATTGGGTTCTCAGGCAATTCTTCTACAGAGAACTGCAATTAAATTCAATGGGAAATATTTGCAATGGTTCTACTAACAATAATTAAAAACTACATAGCCCCAAGTTTGTTGACATGTCTTTCTTTAATAACAAAAAACAATCTTTCAGATTAAGAGCATGGGTAAAGAGTATTTAATGTTTAGTTAAGAGCTGAGGAAACTGAAGAGACAGGATGAAGGAAAACAATCAATTATGTTGACATCCTTAATTCACAAAAGGCCAAGCTGATATTTACTTGGGCCCTAACAAAAAGAGTTAATGGAGGCTCAGTGCCTTCATCTAGTGAATCAAAGTAAAATCCCTTGAAGTAGAAAGACAAAAGAGAGCAAGTCCTAATAGGGGTATGAGAGTTACAAGAACTAGAGTGTTGGAGAGTGAGAAAGAAGGGACATGAGAAGCTGTTTTGAAACTCATCTCAGGATCAGCTCTCTCCACTTCTGGCAAGGCAATTCTAAAGATCCACAATTCTACTTAGTATTGATATTTTTAAGCTAATCCATATGAAAGTACCTCTAGGCCAAAAATAGTGGAATACTGACAATTTCCTTACCAATGAGCATGTTCTTCAAGAGCAAAAACCATATCTAATTATTCTTCTATTTCTCCAGTAGCTTGGCACAGATTCAATATGCACTATATTAATGCAAGGAATTGTATCAAATTAGAAAGAAACTGAAAATGAACATCCCTAATGCTCCTGAAAATGTAAATACTTTTGGAGAGGATAAAAACTATACCTAGTCATTCATATTTTAGTATGAATTTAAAGTTACTTCTGACTTCAACCCAATTTTTAGAGACCAGATCCTGGCCTTTACAGTTCTCTCCTTTCACATAAAAACCTGAGGAAAACACTGAGCCAAACACAGAGGTGTACCATAAAATCACCTTACTCCCAAATGTCTCATTGGATAGAGCCTAAAATAGCAGGTTAAAGAGCTAATTTCCCTAGACACTAGTCAAAAGCAAACATGTTGGAAAAAAGTCTCCTTCCTTTACAGAGCAATGAGTTGACCTATACACTTCTTCACCAGTAAACAACACATACAGTTCTTATTTGGTTTTAAAAAATACCAATTTTTTACATAAAAAGACAAAATAGAGACTGCACGGAAAAAATCAAGAACAAAGTGAAAATAACCTACGTACTACTACCCACATATAACCAATGTTAAAACTTCAGCATATGTTTTTTCAAAATATTTTTACATATAAGAACATGTGTTTAAAGGCAAAACTCTAGAACCATTCACAGTAAAGTCAGGAACAATATACATACTACGATTATTTCTCATTAATCTCATTCTGTACAAAGTAAATCTGCAAATATGAAGAGATAAAAAGCATTGTACATTTCACGGGGAGGAAAAAATGTAGGAAAAGCAAAGGAGCATATAAAATATAAATGAAGAAATTCAAAATGTTTGTTAAAATAGTTTGTTATTGGGCCGGCCCGGTGGCACACTGGATAGTGCGCCGCTTGGGAAGCGCGGCGGCGCTCCCGCCTGAGGGTTCGGATCCCACATACAGACCGGTTCCCGCTCACTGGCTGAGCAAGGTGCGGGTGCAACACCAAGGGTTGCGATCCCGTTGCCGGTCCCCGGTCCGGTGCGGGGGCAACACTGAGGGTTGCGATCCGTTGCCGGACACGGAAAAAAGACAAAAAAAAAAAAAAAAAAAAAGTTTGTTATTCAAAGGGTTAAAAATGCAACATTATGCATTTTGAATCCCAAAAAAAAAAAAAAAAGTTTGTTATTCAAAGGGTTAAAAATGCAACATTATGCATTTTGAATATGGTTCTTCAATATGGAGTCCTTAAAAATTTATTATTGCTCACCCCAAAACCTACTATACTAATGGTATGCAAACCGATACCTATACTATACTAATGGTATGCAAACTGATAATAATTTACTTAATGTTTGTTTTCCATGCTAGACTACACGCTCCATATTTGTCTTGTTTACTCCATATCATCAGAGCTTAACACAATGCTTGGCACATCATACTAAGTGAAAAACAAATGTTCACTGAATTGACAACAAACACTTTTTCAGAAGGTAAAAAATATATATCTAGGAGTATTCAAAGTAAATACTCCAGCTACGACCACCAAGAAGGGCCGCAGCAAGAAGGGCCCCGGGTTCCCGAGCTGGGACGGTAGGGGGCAAGGGCTTTTGCCACAGCCCCTGACATCTGCACCCAGCCTGGCAATGACCAAGCCACCGCTGGAAGACCCCAGTCTCCCCTGTAGGAATGAGGGGTGTGCCACAGCCCTCGATCCCACCCCTCCTCCTTCCTCCTTCTTCCATCCCATTTCCTTCCCTTTCCCCTTTCCCCTTCCCTCCCACCTGCTCTGCAACATCCTAGAATGGAAGAAATAATATTAATAAAATAGTTTCTTTTAAAAAGTAAATCTTATTTTTAATTAAAGTGATTTTATTAAACGTACTGCTATTATAATACACAATAAAATTAGTCATATACTTTATATTTTAAAAGATGACCAATGACAATGACTTCTGTTAAATACAAGGACTACACATTAAGTTTCTCTTTGCTTGTAAGGCTAAGGTTATGGGTTTGATCTCCATGTAGAATAATGGGAAAGAAAAACAAAACCTCTCATGTTTTTTTAAAGTGTCACTAGGTGTTTTTGACAACTCCACATGAGAGGAAATTTTATTTCCAGTTTTCAAGAAAAGGAAACAAGCTCAGACAAGTTTAGTAAATTGCCCAAGGTTAATCAGTTAGTTCTCTGCAAAGATGTAATTACATTCCATTTTTAACCAAAGATGATGTTCTTCTCAGTATACTTTCTTTAAGTATATTGGATATATTTAACAAAATAACAAAAGGTTATGTATATTTTTTAAAGTAGCACAGCCATAATGGCAGAAGAGCTATGTTACATTACCTACCCAGTCTGAACACAGACTATAAGAAAACAGAAAATGAAAGGGGAGTATATGAAAGGGGAGTATATCCTTGAAGAGAAAATGGCAAAGGGTGATATTTGCAAGTCTGTAATTTTATGCCTAAAACACTACCTAGCCTCTGAAAGCAAAGGACAACAATCTTGAGTAGTCAGAGGACAAAGTTCAGGGCTTTCAGAACAGTTAGAAAGACTGGGGAAAAGGAAGGGAGGGCATCACAAACAGGATGAATTATAAAATCTGCTTTTATAATATGTTCAAATCCTTGGCTGATTTTCTAAACTATTTATGAGGACATGTTGGGGCGGTTTCAGGGTTCCCAGCAAAAAAGTAGCAGCTGGATGTTGAAAGAACTGAACAGAGAGAGTCTAACTGTTGTCCTCCAAAAGGAACTTTGGTGTTTGAATCTAGGCAAGTTAACCTCCTTCTCGAACAAAAGTAACTCTTTGGAAAGTCTCTGTATGTATTATTCATAATGTTCAGTATCCAATCAAAAATTAGTAGATATGAGAAGAAACAAACAAACAAAATATATATATATATTTTATACTCAAGGAAAAAAAGTAAAAACCAGGCTCCAAGATGACTCAGATGTTGTACTAAACAGACAGGATTTAAAGCTACCACAGATATGTTCTATGACTTAAAGGAAGATATATGCATAAAAAATGAGAAGTGGGCTGGCCAGTTAGCACAGTTAGTCAGAAAGTGGTGCTGATAACACCAAAGTCCACGGTTCAATCCCTGTACCAGCCAGCACCAAAAAAAAAAAAAAAAAAAAAAAAAAAAAAAAGAAAGAAAGAAAAAGAAATGAACAGAAGGAAAATCTCCACATATAGGAATAGAAATGAAGAAAAAAAAAAATGTAAAGGCTGGCCAGTTAGCTCAGATGGTTAGAGCTCAGTGTTAATAACACCAAAGTCAACGGTTTGGATCTCAGAACTGGTCAGCCCCACCCACCCCCCAACAAAATGTAAACTACCTAGTTACAATAACTGATAAAAATAAATAAATAACTGTTTAGACTTAGCAGACTGGAGATGGCAGAGCAAAGAATTAAGTGAAGTTAAAAACAGATCAAGTAGTCTAACATACGTATGAGGGTTCCTCAAAAAGTTCATGGAAAAACAGAATTTAATAGTAATGTGAATCTTTCCATGAACTTTTTGAAGTACCTTTGTATAACTGAAGTTCCAGGAGGATAAGACAGAAGAAAATGAGGAAAAAACATTTATGGAAATAACAGCTAAGAACATTCCAAATATAGGAAAGAGAAGAATTTACAGATCCAAGAAATTCAATGAACTCCAAGCAAGATAAATATGAAGAAAAGCACACCTTGGGAAATTGCTAAAACCCAAGGACAAAGGGAAAACCTTGGTAACAGCCAACAGAAAACACAAAATTCATGGGGAGGTAGATAAGGGAGGACGCAGGGGGAGAGCAAATACAAATTTTCACTAGCTTCTCCACAGAGAAAACAAACAGAAGACAATGTAAAAACATTTTTTAACTGCTGAAATAAAAAAACCTTTTCAACCCAAAATACTTTTTCCCATAAAATTACCTTTCAAAAATGGGCCTGAGCCTGTGGCGCACTTGGGAGAGTGCAGCGCTGGGAGCGCAGCGATGCTCCCGCCGCAGGTTCGGATCCTATATAGGAATGGCCAGTGCGCTCACTGGCTGAGCGCGGTGTGGGCGACACCACACCAAGGGTTGCAATCCCCTTACCGGTCACGAAAAAGACAAAAAAAAAAAAAAAGAAGAAGGTTAAATAACAATTGTTGCAGATAAACAAGTGAGAGAATTCCTTGCCAGATCTGTACTACAAAAAAGCTTAAAGGACTTTTCAGGTTGAAGACAAGTGAAATGACACCATATAGTAACTGTAAATGGCAAACATAGATCATATATTTTTCAAGCTGCCCTCTCTGCCCAGAAGCAGGCAAGCAGCAGAGCAGGCCCAGGGGGGCTTAGAC